ACCGTCATATCGTTGACCAAAGAGATACGACGTGGCCGTGTCGAGGAGGCCATCCGTGTCGAATGCATCGGTCGAGGTTCCCACGAGCTCGGTGCCGGGCATCGTCGACGACAATATTGTGTCTGCGGTGAGCTGTCTAAGCTGCGCTGGACGGCCGCGCCCAAAGTACGCCGCTTGCTCGAACGAAAAGAGTCGCCCGACGTCCGTCTCGGGCATGGCATCAGCGTAGAGGCGGACGTCACTGACAAAGCCTTGAATGCCGCGGACCCACGGACATCCGCCAACGTACAGGTTGCCGCCATTCGGAAGCAGTGTCGCGTTACTGGCGTAGATACGTGCGTCGACGCGGCCGTTGATGGTGAGCGTCACGTCAAAGCTGTCGGCACTGTGGTTGACCAGTGCGACGCCAAGAAGCACCCATTGGCCAATCGGCAGCGCGGATGCGCTCGAGACCGATGCAAACATGTCGTCGCGCGAGCTCACGCTGAGCATCAGCGTCTGGTCGTGGGGGTTCAGCCACATGGACGGCGTCCGGTGGTCGTCACTGCCAGAGCCCTTGTACAGCAGCGTTTGGTGCGAGTTGTTGGCACGTTTGGTCAAGTACACCCACATCAGAATCGACCACGAGCCAGTGCTCGACGTCGGAATTGACGTGTGCGGGATCGTCGCCGAGTGGTCGCCGTCGAGTGCAAGGATGCCAGGAATGACGTACGACGGCGTGCGAACCGTCGTCGCCGAGTCGAGGACGAGAGAGTGCAGGACCTTGTCCGTCTCGCAAGGCGCTTCGTCGTCCACAGAAACGACATCCGACGCGTGCTGGAGCAGCGGGTGGTCGCCGAGCCGCAGCACAAAGCGGTAGTCGCCTGTGACCCCGACACGAAAGGTCACGGGTACACTGCTATACGCCCAGACTTCCATTGCGTCGTACGTGATCGGAAAGGCTTTGACGCTGGGCGAGCGCTGAATGTCGCGAATCCAGACGTCGTCGACCGGCGCGACCAGAATTTCGATGCGTAGCAGCCGCGGCGTGACCCAGGTCCCGGCGACGGCGGGACCAAAGTCATTTGGGAAGTCCAAGATTGCTTCGAGATCAGCCTTGGTTGCCACGAGCGGCTCGTTTGTGTCGTCGCTGAACGCGAGCTCGAGCTCGTCGCCGACTTGAAGCACTCCGTCAGGCCGGTTGGGGACCACGAGCGTCGTCACGTCGGGTTGGCACACGACCGGGTCGGCCTCGCAGCGAAGCCCAGGCGGACTACCCTTCTTGGCATTGTCGCTGGTGTGCATAGCATGCAGCTGGACGTCCGAGCCACGGATGAGTTCACCGGTTGCCGCGTGCATGAGCCCGACAAAGGCCGTCTCCGTGGGCTCGTACGCGGACGCGATGGACCAGGATACCTGGACCTGCAGGCGATCGTAGGCGCAGCGACCGCTCAGCCCCGATGTGTTCCACTCGACCGTTTGCACGATTGAAGCACTGCGAGTGTAGGCGGCGCCGAGGACCACCGCGATACCGAGGGCTCGCATGCTCGCCTGTCGACGTTCGAAAAATGGCTCGCTTCCTTGGATTGCCAACGTGTCGCAGAAAGCCTGCACCAATCACAGTATTTTACACGTTTTTTTACACATTATTCACATTTTACACGTGTGGGCTTTTCGGAAACCGAGAAGGTCGTACTCCGAGTAAGACCTTATAGCGTGGCGCCGCCGGGAACCAGGCTCGACGTGGTCACGGACTTGGCGCGACACCACATTTCTTGATCAATTGTATTTTGCCACACGATATGAATAGCAGTGCGAATAAGAAGGCCGACACGTGGAGCGTTAAGTTCAGCGACCAAAATAGCGCGGGAAAGGGAGACATGACCGAGCCCTGTGATGACCCGATAGGCGTGTGTCTCCGCGCATGCACCCATGTTAACTGGACGACCATTTGCGCACTCGGTTTTAGCAGCAACTGGGCGTGCTGCGACCTCAACGTCCTCAACGCGGTGCTGCCCACGACCCTCTGGGCCATCTTCCTCGGTCTTAGCGTCTGGTTCGGCTGGTTCACGGGCATCGTAAGCGAGCTGCGCACCAGCGTCGACGACCTTCACGATATCAACACACAAGGTACGCTGCCAGTACTGGGTTGGTAGTCGCTAATATGCGCTCCTAGCACTCGGTGTGGTCGTGGCGCGTCAAACACACAGTGTTCTTGGCCGCGAGATTGGCGACCCGCGCCGGGTGCTCATGCTGCTTGCAATGGGCTCGGAGCTCGTCGGTTTTAGCTACCTTCCCGTTCAGCTTCTCTTGTACGAGTATACCAACGGCACGTTCGCGGCCCAGTCGTCGGCGGGTTTTCAGTGGCTGAAATTTTGCCTCTTTACGCTGCTGCTGTGGCTCTTGCTCTTGCCGCGGCGCGTCACGAGACGCATCGACGGCCTCTTGACAAAAGTGGTCGCGCCGCTTCTTTTTGACACGTGCAGCCTCTTCTACATGTATACGATCGTCGACATTGGTGCGTGCTCCAACGGTATGGACACGTGGACACTGCCCGACGGCACGACGTGCGGCAGCGAAAGTCGGTATGGCGTGTTTGCCGCGCTCGGCACGGCCTCGTTTGTGCTCTTTTACTGGCGTATGGACGCACGCTTCATGGGATATGGATCATATGGCACGCGTAGACTCGCTCCAGTACAAGCTGCGCCTCAACGACCAAGTATTCGCGGTTCGATTTCGATACCAGACGTCGTTTGGGTCCCTCATGGCGTACACGCGGACAGGTACCGTATTGTCTTTGCTTTTCTTATATATACTGAAACGAGTCAAACCAACTAGCGTGCTGCCTCGGCTTCTTCACGGTCCAGCGCCTCCTCCTGTACTTTGACAAGATCCACGTCTTCCTCGCATTTAGCATCTTCAACATGGTTCTCTTCTCGCTCCTCTTGCACTACAACTACGTCAACCAGCCCGTACGTCCAACTGAAATGGCGCATCCCAATATAAATGGGTCGACAACCACCCTATGTAGTGCCTCGGCGTCGGGCTCCTCCCAAACAACTTGCGGTCGCTCTCGTTTGCCACCTCTGTCTACACCTCGACGATCCTCTTTGGGATTTCGTGCGCGCTTCACGCTAGCGGCTCGGAAAGCATGTCCCTTGTCGAGCAACGCATTTTACAGGCCGCCGCCGTAGCCTACTTTCCGCTTGCCGCAGCCACGTGGGCCATCAACTCGCGGCGTGCCCGCTTGTACCACGTTCCCAACTTGAGCTTGAAGGCATCGCTGGTTCACTCGACGCCCCGCGTCCGTGCGATTGCTGCTGTGAGCATCGCGCTCGAAGATCAGTCGCGCTGGTCGACCAGCGACATTCTCGACCTGTTGACGCTTTTGGACGACAACTTGAAGACTTCACCGGCCTTCGAACAAGGTCTCGTGCTCGCGTACACGTGTCAAGCGCTGTGGAATCTCTACTTCAAATACGTTTCGGTCCACACGCCGCTGAACGAGCCAGGCGCGGACTCGATGCTGTCCCTTGGTCTCTGGTCCAACCAACGCATGTCCACCGTAAACAATGCCTTTGGGCCCACGGGCTTTCACAACCGCAGCCGGCCACATGGCTCAGCGCTCCTCGCACTTGTCCAGCGAAATGTCACCGTCGGTGCGCACACAACAACACAACATATGGACGAGCTCTCGTCGTCGCCGCTCATTGCATCGATTCTTTCCAACTGCATCCATACGCTGAAGGTTCTCAGCCGTATTTCGGCATCCCCCGCGCGTCTCATCGCTGCCAAAGTGCTGCAGGAGATGTACGTAGCACGCGTCCTTCGACTGTCGCAGCCGACGATGCTCTACGTCTGCTGCTCGATCTGCGCGAGCGCGAGCCCGAGTCAGTCGAGCGCCGCCGCCGCGACCCTCCGCCACCTTTTTGTCTCGCATTTCGAGTGCTCGGAGTCAATGACGGTGCATTTCACCGACTATTGGAACCTTCTCCACTTGTCCCAGTACCTCTTGCGCGCGAGCCGCGAGCCAAGCGACGTGTCACGGGCCGAAGGTGTCGCCGATGTTGTCTTGAGCATCGTTCAAATGATCGAAAGCAATGCCGCCACCAGCAACCCCGCAAATGCGCTCTCGGAAGCCTTTGTGGCCAACATCCTCGCCGCCCAAGCACAGATCGCGACGTCGTACAAGCTGCTGACGCTGCTCGATGACATTTGCCTCTCAACGCACTGGGCCTTTCAGATGTACCTGGACGAGCTGCATCGCGCCTCGCGCGACGTGACCATGCGCAAGACCCAGCGCATCGGTGCGCTCTACCGCACGCGTCTCTTCTCCCATGGGAAATCGACGGCGGCCATCGTGCCCAGTCGTCCTCCGACGCGCCATGCGGAGCTCTCAGTGCAAAAGGTCACGTCCTTCTTGTTGCAATCCAAACAAGCCAACTTGGTTGGGCCCGACATCGTCGCTGCCATCAAGAAACGGAAGACGGAGGAAGCCATGCTGCTCGTGCAGGTGACCATGGTCATGAACGAAGGCTGCCGCGACCACCTGAGCCTGCAAGAGCTGGGCCCCGGTACAGTTACCGTTCTCAAGACGCTTCTCTACACTCTGAGAGACCAGCCCATGCTTCGGGCACATATCAAGAGCCGGCTCAAGCCAGCTGAGGCGAACTACTTGAAGCACCTCGAGCTTCTCTTGGCACCGAAACACAGCTCCGGACTGCGTATCGCCATCCTAGCGACGGGAAAAATCGTACCCTCCAAGGTTGCGCGCTAACATGATTTTACCATATCACTTTTTGTGGTCTTGTATGGTCATTTAAAGCTACTTGTACCACCCCCTGGTACAACGACAGAATGTCGACGTTATCGCACGTATTGTGCGAGTCGAGCGCGTGACCAGAAAGCATAAGTGGCAGGTGCGTCGCATGAAGTTATCGACCTCACTTGAAGTATCCAGAACGGTCGGTGGTGGTTCTTCAAAACTTGATGGAACGAATCGAATGCCATTGCAATCGAGCCTTGTGGTCCCAGAAGCACCTCGAAATCAGTGCTGTGGAACCAACACCAAAGGCGAAGACTGGTCGACTTGCCGATTACACAAGGGCTGTTTTCAAGAAGCGGGAAAGGTCTTCCGGTCAAGGCCGAATGATGTAGAAGTCCAAGATCAAAAATATACACGTTACAAGATTCAAGATCCAGGCGCAGAGCACGCGAGCCCCGACCATTTCCAAATTGATGGTGTCAGTCACTTAGCCAGCCCGCCTCGCCCACATCTGGCATGGCAGACACCAACATCACTGTAGCCACCAGGTAGTTAGATCTGGATTGAGGAAAACTATTGGGCGTTTCATCTCTAGGGAGAATATATTTGCCTGCTACTTTAGGCTCTACAAGGCTGCCGCCAAGAAGTGCGGGAGGAATCTGGTACGACAGAAAAGCATCGAGAGTATCTCGATACCGGTATGCTGTTCATTAAGCACAGGTTTTACTTGTACACGACGGCGCTGCCTAGAGATTCCATGGTCAACTGTACTACAAAGCCTAGCAAATCACACTATTCCGAGCAAGCCGACGCAGGTGGATATTTATATATGAACGTGTTTCCCGTTATCTTCGTGGATGAATGTTTGATTTAAGATTTCGGCCAAGCCTGGTCGCACATTGATCTAGGTGCCGCAGTGATATTCAAAGAGGATGACTACAGTCTTGAGCCCAAACCATAACGGTGAGGGCAAGCACAACAGCGGTGCAACAGGTCGGCATCGATGCCACCTATGC